TAATCAGATTTAAGGGGCGCCTGGGTGGTTCAGTTGGTTAAGCGCCGACTTCGGCTCAGGTCATGACCTCGCGGTCTGTGAGTTCAAGCCCTGCGTCGGGCTCTGTGCTGACAGCTCAGAGCCTGGAGCCTGTTTCAGATTCTGTGTCTCCCTCTCTCTGACCCTCCCCCGTTCATGCTCTGTCTCTCTCTGTCTCAAAAATAAACAAATGTTAAAAAAAAAAAAAATTAAAAGCTGCAATACAAACACGTGAAATTGTAGTACTGAATAATCTCAGAGATTACTTAGCTACTTTGGAAATTCCTATTTCAGAAATATTAACATGATTGCAGATCTGAATAGATAGTAAAATTGGATATTTTGTAAACTTTGCCAAATTTTTTAATCTGAATTCATAGTCATTTTTATAAAAACCAAGCATCTCCTCAAGATCTCTGTACTGAAAACTAGAGAACAGTGCTGAGGGAGATTTAAGGCCTAAATAACTGAAAGGTTAAACCAACTATTTACACTGGAAGACTCAATATTGCCAAGATGTCAATTGTCAGTTTTATCTCTAGAATCAGTATAATACCAAAGGGTTGTGTGGGTGAGCGTATGTGTGTGTGTGCAAGAAACTGACAAGCTGATTCTTGAATTTATATGGAACTGCAAGAAAACTAGAATAGTTAAGACAAAATTGAAGAACAAGCCAGACAATTACACTATCAGATACCAGGAATTTCTATAATGTGGTATTGGGACACATATAAAGAGATCAAGGGAACAGAGTAGAGTCCAAAACAGACCTGAGAACATGTATGTGGTCTTCTTATTTACCACAAAGGTGCCACTGTAATTCAGTGGGAAAAGGATTGTTTTTCCAATAAATGTTTCTGGATCAACTGGATCTCCATATAGAAAAACACTAAACCTTGATCCTTACCTCACACCATGCAGAGAAATTAATTACAGATGATATTAGACCTAAATGTGAAATGTAAAACAATAAAGGGCTACAGAAAGACATAAGATCTTCACAAACTTGGAGTAGTAAAGATTTCTTAAGGGGACACCGAAAGCACCAATTACAAAAGATTGATAAATTGGAATTCATTAAAGTTAAAATATTTATCAAAGGACATTAAAAGAGTGAAAAGGAGCCACAGACTATTGCAATATGTCTATCCAATAACATATCATAACCAGAATAAACAAGAACTCTCATAAATCAAGAAAAAAAGACTAAAAACTCTGTTTCGAAAACTCACAAAAAATCTAAACACTCCACAAAAGTGAAGATCCACGTTCCCAACCTACATGTGAAAATGTGCTCAACATCATTCATAATCTAGGAAATGCAAAGTAGGACCACGATCAGATCCCACTAAATGGCTAAAAATTAAAGAACTGACAGCACCAAGTCTTGATGAGAATGTGGAGCAAAAGAACTCCCCCACATGGTTTGTGAGAGTGGAAATCAATGCAACCACTTCAGAAAACTGACAGTGTTCACTAAAGCTAAATACACATGAACTCTATGACTTGGAAATTCAATGGCCCAAGAAAAATGAGCATAAAAAAATGAGTGTAAATATCCCTTTTAGAAGAGAATATTCATTTGTAGCATTACTCATAATAAGATAAAAATGGAAACCCAAATGGTCACTGACAAGGGAATAAATGAATAAATTGGGGTATATGCAATGAAAAATTGTATACAATAAAAAAGAATAAACTTCTGACACATGCAACAACTTGAATGCATCTCACAGATACATTATTAAGTAAAAAGAATACCATTCCCAAAAGAATACAGACTGTAGAATCTCATCTATATGAAGTTCAAAAGACTGTACAACTAACTAATCTACGTCAGAGTACTGGTTACCTTGGTGGGATATTACCTGAAAGAAGATAGAGGAAAGCCTTCTGGGGTTCTGGAAACTTTCTATAATTTGGTCTGAGGGGCAGTTACACATTTGTCTAAATGTGTATGTAAAAATTGACACAGATGTCTAAATGTGTATGTAAAAAATTCACTGCACTATGCATCTAAGATTGACGCTTTGTATGTGTAGTACCTCATCAACATGAGGAAAACAGCATGTCTGTAAGAAACTAAGCTAAAAATGATTCCTGCAAAACAAAACTGAAATTCTAATCAAATTTTTATAATGAATTTGAATGACTATATGACTGTAATAAATGAGATTAACTTTAAACTCTCCACAACATATGTAGGGAAAGCCCAACAGATGATTGACAAAACAAATCTCATGACAGCAGAAAGGGAGTTTCTACTATGATACTTTCATCTTAAGGGGTCTGTTGGCCTACCATCAACTTGGAAACAATACATGTCTGTCTTAAATTCTTCCAAAGACTTAATGAACATATGATGATGTCAAAGTAATAAACCTGTCACTTTGAAATGAATGGAATTCAACATTTCCAGCAATATTCATGAAAGTAAGTCTCCACTAAAATCTTTAGTTTATGAAAATCAAATGTAGCTTCATATATTTAGAGCATGTGCGTTATTGTGAAAACCTGAACAAAATAAAGGAAAACTAAATGTTAATTATTTGGGGGTAAGATTCAAGGTGCCATCATCTGAATGCATGAGTCTTAGGGATCCGTTGCATACAAATGGCAAAGCAGATGTGGCTCTCACAAGTTGGCTGTATTATTTTCTATAAATATTGACATATATATTTTAAAATAAAGTAAAGCACACTTTTTGAGTGAATGTGCATATACCTTAAAGAACAACTGATAAGGGGCGCCTGGGTGGCACAGTCGGTTAAGCGTCTGACTTCAGCCAGGTCACAATCTCGCGCTCCGTGAGTTCGAGCCCCGCGTCGGGCTCTGGGCTGATGGCTCAGAGCCTGGAGCCTGTTTCCGATTCTGTGTCTCCCTCTCTCTCTGCCCCTCCCCCGTTCATGCTTTGTCTCTCTCTGTCCCCAAAATAAATAAACGTTGAAAAAAAAAAAATTAAAAAAAAGAAAAAAAAGAACAACTGATAAGATCCAAATGTCATCCCAACAGGTAGACAGAGAAGAATCATTGCAGCAGTGTCACTGCAAAGGCTCTCTGGAATGTTCCAAAAGTAATTACTACTAAAATTTCACCATGAAATATGCACTACTTGGGGACCCTTAATCAACAGACCTTTTGAAGAACAAATGCAAAGGTTTTTGACAAATTCATTCTAAGATATTGTTAGTGATTATCAGACCCACCTTCCTCCT